CCCCCCCCCCCCCCCAAACCCCCCTAAACTGTCAATTATCTGCTTTTAAGTCTATATATAATCCACCTGTGTCTATGGCCACCTGTAACTGTTCACGATCTCTTCTCTGCACATGTCCATGAACCATATCTGACTTGAGAGCAATCATTTCCTGGGATTCTCAGAAGATCAGTAGCCTAGTTGTTAATGCTCTTCGCATTTAAGGGTCACGCTTGCCAATATTTGAAGCATGTTGTAAGGGAAAATCATGACTAACATAGGAAGTTTCAGGGTTTGGAAACTGGGATAAAGTTACCTATTTGTTTGAGGAATCAGTCTCAAACTAAATCCAAAGCTTTTACCAGTTTCTGCCAATGTTGTAAGGGAGAGACATTTGTTTATACAGTTTCCATGGTTCCCGAGGGCTGGAGCTGACTCTACATGCCAGACTGGTGGAGCTGGAATCTACACACGAGAAACTGCTGCAAGGGATCGGGCAACTGTGTGAGCCTCTGACCCGTGACATGATGAATCTGTCTGTGGAGTGCTGCCTTCGACCAGTGGGACAGATACTTAAGAGGTACAAATCTCGATAGTACATCTAATCCTCATGCATATAACTAGTAGCTGTAACAAACTTCCATAAAAATTAATTAGAGCTAAGGTTTCGATTATGAAAATGAAATACTGTATAATAAAACAATACTAATTAATAATGTAAAATATCTAATGAATTAGGAAAATATTATCTGTATTATATTGTATTAATACTTAAACGATAGACAACGGATAATGTCAATCCTGCTAATTTCTACAGCTGCCAGCTCTGCCTTGTTGACAAGCTTTTTGAAGACTATGAATCCAAGCTGTTCTCCATCACCCAGAAGTAAGTAGACATCTGTCCTGTTGTATCGCTTAACTGTCTCTGTATTTCTCCGACTACTTGCCATGTAAGATACATGTGTACAATATGGAATACTCATGTGGGATACATGTCATAATTAATAGGATCCATTTCTCCTGTGTGATGTATAAGAAATTTCAAGCCAAGGGTAGGTTTTTAAAGTATAGCTAAAGGCAATGAAATAATTATTTTTCTCCCACATTGTCCTACCTTAAAAAAAAGGTGTAATGGTGCCCTGTGTACTGCACCATCATCAAGGGCACATGAAATTTTAGCCTACCAAACGTGAGAATGCACCTGTGAAGTATGGGATAAAAATTGTTTCTCTTACCCTGAGCAGGTGTATCTACACTTGTATCAGTGTGAGATATCCTTGTCACTTACCCTGGGCAGGTGTATCCACACATTTATCAGTGTGAGATATCCTTGTCACTTACCCTGAGCAGGTGTATCCACACTTTTACCACTGTGAGATATCCTTGTCACTTACCTTGAGCAGGTGTATTCACAATTTTACCACTGTGAGATATCCTTGTCACTAACCCTGGGCAGGTGTATCCACACTTTTATCAGTGTGAGATATCCTTGTCACTTACTCTGAGCAGGTGTATCCACACTTTTACCACTGTGAGATTTCCTTGTCACTTACCCTGGGCAGGTATATCCACACATTTACCTGTGTGAGATATCTTTGTCACTTACCCTGAGCAGGTATATGCACACTTTTTCCAGTTTGAGATATCCTTGTCACTTTCCCTGAGCAGGTGTATCCACACTTTTATCAGTGTGAGATATCCTTGTCACTTACTCTGAGCAGGTGTATTCACAATTTTACCCACTGTGAGATATCCTTGTCACTAACCCTAGGCAGGTGTATCCACACTTTTACCTGTGTGAGATATCCTTGTCACTGACCCTGAGCAGGTATATCCACACTTTTTCCAGTTTGAGATAACCTTGTCACTTACCCTGGGCAGGTGTATCCACACACTTACCTGTGTGAGATATCCTTGTCACTGACCCTGAGCAGGTATATCCACACTTTTGCCAGTTTGAGATATCCTTGTCACTTACCCTGGGCAGGCGTATCCACACATTTACCTGTGTGAGATTTCCTTGTCACTTACCCTGAGCAGGTATATCCCCACTTTTTCCAGTTTGAGATATCCTTGTCACTTACCCTGGGAAGGTGTATCCACACATTTACCTGTGTGAGATATCTTTGTCACTTACCCTGAGCAGGTATATGCACACTTTTTCCAGTTTGAGATATCCTTGTCACTTTCCCTGAGCAGGTGTATCCACACTTTTACCACTGTGAGATATCCTTGTCACTTACCCTGGGCAGGTGTTTCCACACTTATACCAGTGTGAGATATCCTTGTCACTTACCCTGGGCAGGTGTATCCACACATTTACCTGTGTGAGATATCCTTGTCACTTACCCTGAGCAGGTATATCCACACTTTTTCCAGTTTGAGATATCCTTGTCACTTACCCTGAGCAGGTGTATCCACACTTTTACCTGTGTGAGATATCCTTGTCACTTACCCTGGGCAGGGAATCCACACTTTTACCACTGTGAGATATCCTTGTCACTAACCCTGGGCAGGTGTATCCACACTTTTACCACCGTGAGATATCCTTGTCACTTACCCTGGGCAGGAGTATCCACACTTTTACCAGTGTGAGATTTCCTTGTCACTTACCCTGGGCAGGTGTATCCACACTTTTACCACTGTGAGATATCCTTGTCACTTACCCTGAGGAGGTATATCCACACTTTTTCCAGTTTGAGATATCCTTGTCACTTACCCTGGGCAGGTGTATCCACACTTTTACCACTGTGAGATATCCTTGTCACTTACCCTGGGCAGGGAATCCACACTTTTATCAGTGTGAGATATCCTTGTCACTTACCCTGAGGAGGTATATCCACACTTTTTCCAGTTTGAGATATCCTTGTCACTTACCCGGGGCAGGTGTATCCACACTTTTACTTTTATCCTTGTTCCTTACCCGAGTTGGAGCATACTGTCTCTATTTGTGTTTCAGGCCGATGGCAACGGTGGAGGGGGACCACACTACTACCACCCGCCGACAGGGAACCTGGGCCGACAGCTAGCTCGAAAAATCACTCAAGGTCAAGATATCCTTGTCACTTACCCTGAGCAGGTATATCCACACTTTTACCACTGTGAGAGATCCGTGTAACTTGCCCTGGGCAGGTGTATCCACACATTTACCGGTGTGAGATATCCTTGTCACGTACCCTGGGCAGGTGTATCCAAAATTTTACTTTTATCCTTGTTACTTACCCGCGTTGGAGCATACTGTCTATATTTGTGTTAGGTGTATCCACACTTTTACCGGAGTGAGATATCCTTGTCACTTACCCGGGGCAGGTGTATCCACACTTTTTCCAGTTTGAGATATCCTTGTCACTTACCCGGGGCAGGTGTATCCACACTTTTATCAGTGTGAGATATTATTGTCACTTACCCTGGGCAGGCTAATCCACACTTTTACCACTGTGATATATCCTTGTCACTTACCCTGGGCTGTTGTATCCACACTTTTACCACTGGGAGATATCCGTGTCACTTACCCTGGGCAGGTGGAGCCACACTTTTACTTTTATCCTTGTTCCTTACCCGAGTTGGAGCATACTGTCTCTATTTGTGTTTCAGGCCGATGGCAACGGTGGAGGGGGGCCACACTACTACCACCCGCCGACAGGGAACCTAGGCCGACAGCGAGCTCGAAAAATCACTCAAGGTCAAGATATCCTTGTCACTTACCCGGGGCAGGTGTATCCACACTTTTTCCAGTTTGAGATATCCTTGTCACTTACCCTAGGCAGGGAATCCACACTTTTATCAGCGTGAGATATCCTTGTCACTTACCCGGGGCAGGTGTATCCACACTTTTCCCAGTGTGAGTTTTCCTTGTCACTTACCCTGGGCAGGTGACAAGGAAATCTCACACTGGTAAAAGCGTGGATACACCTGCCCAGTGTGAGATATCCTTGTCACTTACCCGGGGCAGGTGTATCCACACTTTTTCCAGTGTGAGATTTCCTTGTCACCTGCCCAGGGTAAGTGACAAGGTTATCTCACACTGATAAAAGTGTGGATTCCCTGCCCAGGGGAAGGGACAAGAATTTCTCTTACCCTGGACAGGTGTATCTCCACTTCTTTCTGTGTGAGATATCCTTGTCACTTTCCCTGGGCAGGTGTATCCACACTTTTACTTTTATCCTTGTTACTTACCCGAGTTGGAGCATACTGTCTATATTTGTGTTTCAGGCCGATGGCAACGGTGGAGGGGGACCACACTAATACCACCCGCCGACAGGGAACCTGGGCCGACAGCGAGCTCGAAAAATCACTCAAGGTCATCCTGAGCTTTGCTAAGATCTACAGAGGTACATAGGGATTGTGACCTGCTTAGGCTAACAAACCTTTTCTCAGACAAACTTTTCCTGTACTGATCCAGAGTTTTTTTTGCTGGGTCCTGGCCACTCTAGATCCAGGTTAGCGGAGATATGTTCAACACTTCTTGCCTTAACAAATTGCTGTAACTATTGGCTAAAAATTTATGATGGAACCCCCATCCACCCACCACCACCAAGCCCTCCACCTCCCTATCAGTTCAATAAGATGAAAAGGAGCAAGAAGAAGCAATTTCTAAAGATAATTCCGAATTTGTAAGATGATACTATATGGTTAACAGATCCAGAGATGAGAACTGTATAATTATAATGAAGAATACTTCAGTATGTGCTTTATTTCTACAGTTGGCCTACATCTGATAGAGTTTGGAACCACACACATCAAACTAATGGATACTCTCAAGAAGGAATTCAAGGTAAGCAGCACTATCATCTCAAAACCTGTCTCACTGGGAAGTCAGTTGTTAATGTAATACCACTGATGACCAGGAAGTTGTTTTAAGTTACAGTCTTTGATGTACCTCAAGTTTTAGCACTGTTAAACAAGTCACAACGGTTTGTTACCAGGAAGTGCAGCTGTTAGTGACTGCATACAAGTTGTTTGTCACATTGATTGTATTTGTACAGTCGCTTTTACTGTGTTGTGCTCCCTATTAAATCTATAATTCTGTCCTGACTCTCAGAACCTACGTTCAGTGTGGATAGCCAAGCATGAACAGTACCAGGCACTGGATGAACTGGACATGGCTACCACCAGACTGAGGCTGCGTCTCCCTGATGAGGAACTTCCCGACACCACTCAACTCCACGTCTTACAGCCTGCTGAGGTCAGCCTCCCTATCTCACTGTCTGTACTTGTTTTATGTCAAGATAGTTTTCTTTAATATTTCACTTTTACTGAGACAGCAGAAATACATAGGTTATGACCAGGATATTTGGAATACAGTCCAAATCAATAGATTGAAGAATACATGGTTTAAATTTCGACAAATCTAGGATTATGTTTCCATCAGTTTGGAGGCAGACAGCTTGAATTCCGCAAATGTTGTGAATGGTAGATGATAGAAAGTAAATAAAAAGTTTAATAAAGATGACAACATTTAATACAATATGAAACTGCTCAACAATTAAATCACACAGCCATCGGTATAAAGAATAGAAATAAAATTTAAAACAAATTGTATATGTAATGTACATACCAGTTTGGCATAGGCTGCCATACCGTAATCGTCCAAATAAACAGTTCAATATTTCTAAAGTGAAGATAGCATTGAATCCATTATTATAATGTGGATTGATGATTGATGATCGAGAATCCGCTGTGAATAATGCCTTGCCGACATTGTTTTCATGAAATAATAAATGATAATGCAGCTACAACAGGGTAATAGTACAGGTTCGAAATGATACTGCCGTTCATCCTCCATTTATCAGACACCTGTATAAACACAATGAGTGCAGACTGCAGTCTGTGCCTCGAGGCATGTCGATGGCATGCAGTAGGTGTGATCCACAGGTGTTATTAACTGTTAGATAAATGGATAGGATAATTACTAAGGACTTGAGCAGGTGGAGATAAGTTTGAGGAACACAGGTTAATCAAGCAATAACAGTTTGAGTGATCTGGGGTCACTTAACCAGTTGGGACCAAGTATACTTTTCACAGGGGGTATTAGCGTAAAGCGAGTTTGAGTAAGTGGGGTTTCATTGTACTCGCTATTCTGGTTAGAATAGCTGGGATATTTTGGAAACCCTGTCAATCTTGAAGTGTTTTTGATGTTATTTGTTTGTATGAAAATCATGTCATCGAAGGTGTAAAATATAACTATTTACTATATAGGTAACTGGTAAGTGTAAGTATGGTAACTGATATGCTAACTGAAAACCTCATTTCTCACAGCTTGCGCAGCAGAAATTAAAACTGCGAACAGAGTTAACTGTAGCCAAGAATGAGCTGCGCAAGAAAGTTGGACAGCTGTTCTATCTGAAGAATCTGTCAAAGGTAATGCTGCCTGGAGTGTATATAATTAGATATTCAATTATTAATAAGTAAACTTAGGTATTTGATGCTATATGATGAAACTTTGTTATTTGAACTTTGGACAGTTGTATAAACATTAGATCAAAGTATTTAGATTGTTATAATTAGATATTTGGAATTAAAGTATGTATAATATGCTAAATATTTGATGTCCATTTAGGTTTTATTAGATATATCAGTTGATATTATAAGAATGTTTGGATAGGTAAAATCATCATAATCATATTGAGACGTTTGGGTTACAGAATCAGATTGGTAATGAGGATGGAGTGAACCCTGAACCCTGTCCTATCTGTCAGCGGGAACTAGGTGTGGAGGTGAGTCTGGCCACCTAGTACTCTACTATAATAACCAAGTCTGGTCACCTAGTGATCTTCTGTAATAAACAAGTCTGGCCTCCTAGTACTCTATTATAATAAACAGGTCTGGCCCCCTAGTACTTTACTATAATAACCAAGTCTGGTCACCTAGTACTCTACTGTAAAAAACAAGTCAAGCCACCCAGTACTCTACTATAATAAACAAGTCTGGCCACCTAGTACTCTACTGTAATAAACAAGTCAAGCCACCCAGTACTCTACTATGATAACCAAGTCTGGCCACCTAGTACTCTACTGTAATAAACAGGTCTGGCCACCCAGTACTCGACTGTAATAAACAAGTCAAGCCACCCAGTACTCTACTATGATAACCAAGTCTGGCCACCTAGTACTCTACTGTAATAAAAAGGTCTGGTCACCTAGTACTCTACTGTAATAAACAGGTCTGCCCACCTAGTACTCTACTGTAATAAACAGGTCTGACTACCTAGTACTCTAATGTAATAAACAGGTCTGACCACCTAGTACTATACTGTAATAAACAGGTCTGGCCACCTAGAACTCTACTGTAATAAACAAGTCTGGCCACCTAGTACTCTATTATAATAAACAGGTCTGGCCACCTAGTACTCTACTATAATAACCAAGTCTGGTCACCTAGTGATCTACTGTAATAAACAATTCTGGCCACCTAGTGATCTACTGTAATAAACAAGTCTGGCCGCCTAGTGATCTACTGTAATAAACAAGTCTGGTCACCTAGTACTCTACTGTAATAAAGAGGTCTGGTCACCTAGTACTCTACTGTAATAAACAGGTCTGCCCACCTAGTACTCTAATGTAATAAACAGGTCTGACCACCTAGTCCTCGACTGTAATAAACAGGTCTGACCACCTAGTCCTCTAATGTAATAAACAGGTCTGACCACCTAGTCCTCTAATGTAATAAACAGGTCTGACCACCTAGAACTCGACTGTAATAAACAGGTCTGACCACCTAGGACTCTACTGTAATAAACAGGTCTGACCACCAAGTACTCTACTGTAATAAACCGGACTCACCACCTAGTACTCTAATGTAATAAACAGGTCTGACCACCTAGAACTCGACTGTAATAAACAGGTCTGACCACCTAGTCCTCGACTGTAATAAACAGGTCTGACCACCTAGGACTCTACTGTAATAAACAGGTCTGACCACCAAGTACTCTACTGTAATAAACAGGTCTGGCCACCTAGTACTCTACTGTAATAAACAGGTCTGTCCACCTAGTACTCTACTGTAATAAACAGGTCTGACCACCAAGTACTCTACTGTAATAAACAGGTCTGACCACCTAGTACTCTAATGTAATAAACAGGTCTGACCACCTAGTACTCGACTGTAATAAACAGGTCTGACCACCTAGTACTCTACTGTAATAAACAGGTCTGGCCACCTAGTACTCTTTTGTGATAAACAGGTCTGACCACCTAGTACTCTACTGTAATAAACAGGTCTGACCACCTAGTACTCTTTTGTGATAAACAGGTCTGACCACCTAGTACTCTACTGTAATAAAAAGAGTCTGGCCACTTAGTTATGTATTGCTATGTTTTTTCCCCCAGTGGAGTGTGGTCCAGTGCGGCCATTGCTACTGTATTGAGTGTATCCGTGTCATGGTTGTCCAGTACAGCTTCGGTAGCCAGAACAAACGCCTCAAGTGTGCGGTTTGTCGTCAGCTCAACTTCATCAGTGATATCTCCTATGTCAGCACCAAGGTCACACCTGTTGACAATGGCACGGAAAGCATCAGGGTTATGGTAAGTAAAACCTTCATAATCAGCGCCTCATTTTGTTTGCTACCTTACCTAATTAGGGACCCGTATCGGAGATACTCTGTCTGTCTGTCTGTCTGTCTGTCTGTCCGTCCACAAATTTTGTTCCTGGCTGATAACTTTGGTATTTATTGACCGATGTACATGAAACTTGGTCAAGATGTTCAGTTCACAAAAATACACATTGAGGTAAAAAGTCAAGGTCAAAGGTCAAGCTCATTATGTTCAAAGGTCAAGGTCAAATTTTACATCTTTTCACTGATGAACATTTTGTTATGACATTATGAAGCAAAGTTGATCAGAATTAAACAAGGAGTCAACTGACAAAAGGTCAAGGTCATCGGATCAGGGGTCAAGGTCAAATTTTGTAGCTTTTCACTGGTGAACATTTCGCTATGACATTATTGAGAAAAGTTGTTCAGAATTAAACAAAGAGACACACCGAGGTAAAAAGTCAAGGTCAAAGGTCAAGGTCATTATGTTCAAATGTCAAGGTCAAATTTTACATCTTTTCACTGATGAACATTTTGTTATGACATTATGAAGCAAAGTTGATCAGAATTAAACAAGGAGTCAACTGACCAAAGGTCAAGGTCATCGGATCAGGGGTCAAGGTCAAATTTTGTAGCTTTTCACTGGTGAACATTTTGCTATGACATTATTGAGAAAAGTTGTTCAGAATTAAACAAAGAGACACACTGAGGTAAAAAGTCAAGGTCAAAGGTCAAGGTCATTAGATTCAAAGGTCAAGGTCAAATTTTGCATCTTTTCGCTGATGAACATTTTGTTATGACATGATGAAGCAAAGTTGATCAGAATTAAATAAGGAGTCAACTGACCAAAGGTCAAGGTCATTGAGTCAAAGGTCAAGGTCAAATTTTGTATCTTCTCACTGGTGAACATTTCGCTATGACATTTTGAAGCAATGTAGCTCAGAATTAAACAAGGAGTCAATTGACCCAAGGTCACTGGGTCAAAGGTGAAGGTTAAATTTTGTACCTTTTCCCTGATGAACATTTTAGTATGACATTATGAAGCAATATTGTTCAGAACTTAACAAAGAGTCAACTGACCTTAGGTCCAGGTTAGGGGGTGCAACGGGTCAAGGTCAAGTTTTGTATTTTTCACTGATGAACATTTTGTTATGATATTAAGAAGCAAAGTTGGCCGGAATTAAAGAATAAGTCAACTGACCAAAGAGCAGGGTCACTGGGTTAATGGTCTAGGTCATTTGGGTCCAAAGGTCAAAGACAAAGTGGATCTCTGACTTTGACCCTGGCTGTTGATGGAGGAGGTATATAAGGTGAAATTAAAACTAAACAAATCAAAGCTAACAAATGAGCATTGCACCAGTATTAACATTTCTGTTAGCCCAGCAAATATGGAGGTGGAAGGAAACAAGACTCAACTATATGGGCAGATTGCTTCTTGATGATTATGGGGGATATATTGCCACAAGACGGGGCCTTACTGACCTGTCAGTGTTCTAGTTCCACCATGTACCAATATAATGGGGTTTTATTTCTTTTCCTTGATACACCACCAATTTTGATTCTTAATATAAAAATTTGGCTGGAAAAAGGTGACATTATAGCAAGATTTTACTTTATATGAAACAATTGTTATGGTCGCTACATAACAACAACATGATAATCATGTAAGTAGTAGATATCAGGGTCAAGGTCATGCAGTGTGTAGACAGTATATAGCTTCAAGGTCGAATACAAGACATCAAAGTTAAGGTCAGTACAAGACATTGTGTCAACATAATTCCATGGAGAGGGAGCATCATAGTAAAGAGATACAGTATCAAGTACAGACAACATAGTAACAAGATACAGAATCAAGTACAAACAACATAGTAAAGAGATACAGAATCAAGTACAAACAACATAGTAACGAGATACAGAATCCAGTACAGACAACATAGTAACGAGATACAGAATCAAGTACAAACAACATAGTAAAGAGATACAGTATCAAGTACAGACAACATAGTAACAAGATACAGAATCCAGTACAAACAACATAGTAACGAGATACAGAATCCAGTACAGACAACATAGTAACGAGATACAGAATCAAGTACAAACAACATAGTAACGAGATACAGAATCCAGTACAGACAACATAGTAACGAGATACAGAATCAAGTACAAACAACATAGTAACGAGATACAGAATCCAGTACAGACAACATAGTAACGAGATACAGAATCAAGTACAAACAACATAGTAACGAGATACAGAATCCAGTACAGACAACATAGTAACGAGATACAGAATCAAGTACAGACAACATAGTAACGAGATACAGAATCCAGTACAAACAACATAGTAACGAGATACAGAATCCAGTACAGACAACATAGTAACGAGATACAGAATCAAGTACAAACAACATAGTAACGAGATACAGAATCCAGTACAGACAACATAGTAACGAGATACAGAATCCAGTACAAACAACATAGTAACGAGATACAGAATCCAGTACAGACAACATAGTAACGAGATACAGAATCAAGTACAAACAACATAGTAACGAGATACAGAATCCAGTACAGACAACATAGTAACGAGATACAGAATCCAGTACAAACAACATAGTAACGAGATACAGAATCCAGTACAGACAACATAGTAACGAGATACAGAATCAAGTACAAACAACATAGTAACGAGATACAGAATCCAGTACAAACAACATAGTAACGTGATACAGAATCAAGTACAAACAACATAGTAACGAGATACAGAATCAAGTACAAACAACATAGTAACGAGATACAGAATCCAGTACAAACAACATAGTAACGAGATACAGAATCAAGTACAAACAACATAGTAACGGGATACAGAATTAGTACAAACAACATAGTAACGAGATACAGAATTAGTACAAACAACATAGTAACAAGATACAGAATCCAGTACAGACAATATAGTAACGAGATACAGAATCCAGTACAGGCAACATAGTAACGAGATACAGAATCAAGTACAGACAACATAGTAACGAGATACAGAATCAAGTACAAACAAAATAGTAAAGAGATAAAGAATCAAGTACAAACAACATAGTAATGAGATACAGAATCAAGTACAAACAACATAGTAACGAGATACAGAATCAAGTGCAAACAACATAGTAAAGAGATACAGAATTAGTACACACAAAATAGTAACGAGATACAGAATTAGTACAAACAACATAGTAACGAGATACAGAATCAAGTACAAACAACATAGTAACGAGATAAAGAATCCAGTACAAACAACATAGTAAAGAGATACAGAATTAGTACAAACAACAACAACCTCTTTAGTATTAGTTTAGGCAATACACAGGTGAGTGACAATAACCAGACATTGTTTTAGGTTAGAAGTAGGAATGTGGTAAGATTTTAAACTACACTCACAAAATGACTGTAAATAAAGAGGTGTACTATGGTCATTGAGTTTTTTTAGGATGAACACTTGAAGATAACTACAACAAGTTGAGTTTAGAAGAGGGGATAAGTTGCTACACATGTCTTATTGTTGATTTCAGGGCAGTTACTCTATCAAGATAGAGTCTGTTGTCCGATGTATGCTAGGCATAAAAAAGACCGACCCTACAGCCAAGGTCCTGGTGTTTTCTACCGTAAGTCACAGCTAACAGACACAGTTACTGACTGCTTTTACTGATACAGATCACTTAATACCATTTTTACCGTAAGTCACAGCTAACAGACACTGTCACTGACTGCTTTTACTGATACAGATCACTTAATACCGTTTTTACCGTAAGTCACAGCTAACAGACACTGTCACTGACTGCTTTTACTGATACAGATCACTTAATACCGTTTTTACCGTAAGTCACAGCTAACAGACACTGTCACTGACTGCTTTTACTGATACAGATCACTTAATACCATTTTTACCGTAAGTCACAGCTAACAGACACTGTCACTGACTGCTTTTACTGATACAGATCACTTAATACCATTTTTACCGTAAGTCACAGCTAACAGACACTGTCACTGACTGCTTTTACTGATACAGATCACTTAATACCATTTCTACCGTAAGTCACAGCTAACAGACACTGTCACTGACTGCTTTTACTGATACAGATCACTTAATACCATTTCTACCATAAGTCACAGCTAACAGACACAGTTACTGACTGCTTTTACTTATACCGATCACTTAATACCATTTCTACCGTAAGTCACAGCTTACAGACACAGTTACTGACTGCTTTTACTGATACAGCTCACTTAATACCATTTCTACCGTAAGTCCCAGCTTACAGACACAGTTACTGACTGCTTTTACTGATACAGCTCACTTAATACCATTTCTACCGTAAGTCCCAGCTTACAGACACAGTTACTGACTGCTTTTACTGATACCGATCACTTAATTCCATTTCTACCGTAAGTCACAGCTTACAGACACAGTTACTGACTGCTTTTACTGATACCGATCACTTTATACCATTTCTACCGTAAGTCACAGCTTACAGACACAGTTACTGACTGCTTTTACTGATACCGATCACTTAATTCCATTTCTACCGTAAGTCACAGCTTACAGACACAGTTACTGACTGCTTTTACTGATACCGATCACTTAATTCCATTTCTACCGTAAGTCACAGCTTACAGACACAGTTACTGACTGCTTTTACTGATACAGATCAGTTAATACCATTGATCCTAATAAAGATAAATAAATATCATTGATCCTTATTGATATATCAATCTGTCAGATTAGTAATAAAGTGTTGTACTGATGGTATGTAATTAATTTGTTGGTATGTTAATTTGTTGTTACTTCAGTGGAAGAGTGTACTTGGTATCATCGCTGAGGCTCTGGAGGAAAACAACATCACACACCGTACTCTATACACAGGGAAATTCCAGGTAAATAGCACTCTGTAGACAAGGAAATTCCAGGTAAATAGCACTCTGTAGACAGGGAAATTACAGGTAAATAGCACTCTGTAGACAGGGAAATTCCAGGTAAATAGCACTCTGTACACAGGGAAATTCCAGGTAAATAGTACTCTGTAGTCAAGGAAAATCCAGGTAAATAGCACTCTGTACACAGGGAAATTCCAGGTAAATAGCACTCTGTAGACAAGGAAATTCCAGGTAAATAACACTCTGTACACAGGGAAATTCCAGGTAAATAGCACTCTGTACACAAGGAAAATCCAGGTTAATAGCACTCTGTACACAGGGAAAATCCAGGTAAATAACACTCTGTACACAGCGAAATTCCAGGTAAATAGCACTCTGTAGACAGGGAAATTCCAGGTAAATAGCACTCTGTACACAGGGAAATTCCTGGTAAATAACACTCTGTAGACAAGGATATGCATGGTAAATAGCACTCTGTACACAGGGAAATTTGAGGTAAATAGCACTCTGTAGACAGGGAAATTCCAGGTAAATAGCACTCTGTACACAGGGAAATTCCAGTAAAATAGCACTGTAGACAGGGAAATTCCAGGTAATTAGCACTCTGTACACAGGGAAATTCCAGGTAAATAGCACTCTGTAGTCAAGGAAAATCAAGGTAAATAGCACTCTGTACACAGGGAAATTCCAGGTAAATAGCACTCTGTACACAAGGAAAATCCAGGTTAATAGCACTCTGTACACAGGGAAAATCCAGGTAAATAACACTCTGTAGACAAGGGAATTCAAGGTAAATAGCACCCTGTACACAGGGAAATTTGAGGTAAATAGCACTCTGTACACAGGGAAATTCCAGGTAAATAGCACTCTGTACACAGGGAAAATCCAGGTAAATAACACTCTGTAGACAAGGAAATTCAAGGTAAATAGCACTCTGTACACAGGGAAATTTGAGGTAAATAGCACTCTGTACACAGGCAAATTCCAGTAAAATAGCACTGTAGACAGGGAAATTCCAGGTAATTTGCACTCTGTACACAGGGAAAATCCAGGTTAATAGCACTCTGTACACAGGGAAAATTCAGGTAAATAGCACTCTGTACACAGGGAAAATCCAGGTAAATAGCACTCTGTACACAGGGAAAATCCAGGTAAATAGCACTCTGTACACAGGGAAAATCCAGGTAAATAGTAAAATAGCACTGTAGACAGGGAAATTCCAGGTAAATAGCACTCTGTACACAGGGAAAATCCAGGTTAATAGCACTCTGTACACAGGGAAAATCCAGGTAAATAACACTCTGTAGACAAGGAAATTCAAGGTAAATAGCACTCTGTACACAGGGAAATTTGAGGTAAATAGCACTCTGTACACAGGCAAATTCCAGTAAAATAGCACTGTAGACAGGGAAATTCCAGGTAATTTGCACTCTGTACACAGGGAAAATCCAGGTTAATAGCACTCTGTACACAGGGAAAATTCAGGTAAATAGCACTCTGTACACAGGGAAAATCCAGGTAAATAGCACGCTGTATACAGGGAAAATCGAGGTAAATAGCACTCTGTACACAGGGAAACTCCAGGTAAATAGTACTCTGTAGTCATGGAAAATCCAGCTAAATAGCACTCTGTACACAGGGAAAATCCAGGTAAATAGCACTCTGTACACAAGAAAAATCCAGGTAAATAGCACTCTGTACACAGGGAAATTCCAGGTAAATAGCCCTCTGTACACAGGGAAACTCCAGGTAAATTGTACTCTGTAGTCATGGAAAATCCAGCTAAATAGCACTCTGTACGCAAGAAAAATCCAGGAAAATAGCACTCTGTACACAGGGAAATTCCAGGTAAATAGCACTCTGAACTGGTTATTTTTATCCAGAAAATCAATTGTAGTTAATATAATAGACTTGATTAAGCAATGTTAACTTCAACTTGAATTCCTAAATCATTTTCATAGTCTGATTCGAATAAAGGAATACTTTATCTTTTTCACACAGAACCAGCTGACATCATTTCGGGAGGAAAAAGATGTGACAGCCCTCCTACTCCCCATTCAGTCCGGCTCTAACGGACTCAACCTGATAGAGGCCACCTATGTTCTCCTGGTGGAGCCCATCCTCAACCCTGCACAGGAACTGCAGGCCATTGGGCGTGTCCACCGCATAGGTCAGACAAGGTAAGGGTCATAGGTCATGGTCACAAGATGAACAGGGTCATAGATCAAAGTCACAGGATGAGTGGGGTCATATGTTAAGGTCAGAAGATGGGTGACCTATTAGATACATCGGCAGCATTCCCTCTTTATCTCCACTTACCAAAAACATCTCTTGTTTAACAAAAACTCATGTCGATTCAACTTAATAAACAGTCCTCTCATTGTCTTCAACCCTGAATTCAATATCCAAATGTGTAATCATTGCTTCCAATTTGCTGAAGACAACATTTATTGTTCAGATTTAAACACTGTATTGTAAAAGAAATTACCTTGAAATTAATAGTCTTGGCCAAATAAGGCATATATCTTTTGTATATAACACAAATATCTAATAACAATCTTTGTTTATCACCTAGAAAAACTGAAGTCCATCGCTTTCTTATTCGTGGTACCATTGAAGAGAAAATGTATTCCATGTTGAAAACAATTGAAGATGTGCCATCAAGTCACAATACTGAGGAAAATGTGCTGACCATTGGACACTTAACGTCTCTGTTTCGCGAGGAGGAGGTGAACCGCGAGGCAGATAACTCTACAAACACTGAGGATAGCCAAGAAGTGCTAGTAGATGATGTGGCTGCAACAGAAGAAGTCACAAGTCAGTCTGTGGGTGACACAGGGAATATTCAGGGGACCAGTGGACAAGGTCAAAGTGATGATTTATCAGGGGAGGCAACTGTGCAGAGTAACAACACTTCAGGAGAAGTGTGTGTGATTGAGGACTCGTCTTCAGAGCAGGAGTGTATGCTGAGCTCAGGAGGGGAACCCCCAGGCTCAGATGTCATGTATTGTGACCCATACACTTTTTCCTCCAATGAAAGCATCAGTCAGTCAGAGGACAGTAACGAAGGGCCAGTCATTGAGGCTGATTGTGAACCAATCAATATCACTAGCCCTGGAAAGGTTTCCAACAGTGATGTTATAGACGTGGAATCAGAGCTTGTTGAGGAAGCTATGGTTGTGGATGATGACTGGGAGTCACACATCATAGACCTTACTTCCTCAGGAGAACCCTCAGGCATGTATAAAGATCCACAAATTACTTCACAGGGACATCAACAGAAAACCATCCAAGTAGATACACAGGCAGTCGTGGATCTGACATCTGATGATGACGAGATAGGATCCTCCGGACACTCACAGGTGGAGAAAACTTGGTGTGCCGATATCAATGAAGCCTCCCTGCTTGGTCTACCAACAGGTCATGGTGATATATCAAAAACTGGTCCAAAGACAGGTCTATGTGACGACCCATTTACTGGTTTACGGACAGATCCGCAACCTGATTTAGGGTCAGGTTCTAGTGGAAAGCCACAAGCTGGTCCACAGTCTGGTTTAAGTGAAGAAAAAGAATGTGGTTCATTAGTAGGTCATATGGTAGATCCACATGAGATCATGTCAACAAAGGAGACATTGTGAAAGACAGTCGTAGTTGATACAGAGGGACATTGTGATAGACACGGATTCGTTCTATGTTGATACGGATTACGTTCTATGTTGATACAGATTACTTTGTATGTTGATACAGATTACGTTGTATGTTGGTACGGATTACGTTGTATGTTGGTACAGATTACGTTGTATGTTGATATGGATTCCGTTCTATGTTGATACGGATTACTTTCTATGTTGATACGGATTACGTTGTATGTTGATATGGATTACGGTCTATGTTGATACGGATTACGTTGTATGGTGATATGGATTACGTTGTATGTTGGTATGGATTACGTTGTATGTTGATACGGATTCCGTTCTATGTTGATACGGATTACGTTCTATGTTGATACGGATTACGTTGTATGTTGATACAGATAACGTTCTATGTTGATACGGATTACGTTCTATGTTGATACAGATTACGTTGTATGTTGATATGGATTACGTTCTATGTTGATACGGATTACGTTGTATGTTGAGACGGATTACGTTCTATGTTGATACAGATTACGTTCTATGTTGATATGGATTACGTTGTATGTTGATACGGATTACGTTGTATGTTGATATGGATTACGTTGTATGTTGATACGGATTACGTTCTATGTTGATACAGATAACGTTCTATGTTGGTACAGATTACGTTGTATGTTGATACGGATTACGTTGTATGTTGGTACAGATTACGTTGTATGTTGATACAGATTACGTTGTATGTTGATATGGATTACGTTGTATGTTGGTATGGATTACGTTGTATGTTGATACAGATTACGTTCTATGTTGATACGGATTACGTTCTATGTTGATACGGATTACGTTGTATGTTGATACGGATTACGTTCTATATTGGTACGGATTACGTTGTATATTGATACGGATTACGTTGTATGTTGATACGGATTACGTTGTATGTTGATACGGATTACGTTCTATGTTGATACAGATTACGTTCTATGTTGATACGGATTACGTTGTATGTTGATACGGATTACGTTGGATGTTGATACGGATTACGTTCAATGTTGATACGGATTACGTTGTATGTTGATACGGATTACGTTCTATGTTGATCCGGATTACGTTCTATGTTGATATGGATTACGTTCTATGTTGATACGGATTACGTTCTATGTTGGTACGGATTACGTTGTATGTTGATACGGATTACGTTGTATGTTGGTACGGATTACGTTGTATGTTGGTACGGATTACGTTGTATGTTGGTACGGATTACGTTGTATGTTTACTGTAAACAGCATGGCTGTCCGTCCGTCTGTCTGTTTGTCTGTCCCTAGAAAAAGTTTGTCCAGACAACTTCTTTTAAAGTAAGGGACCAAACCATTTTTCTATTCTGACAATTTTTGACGAAGTTATGGCCCTTTGTTGAACAAATCCTGAAACCTTTTTTCCGAACAACTCCTTCTAAAGGTATGGATCGATTTCAACGAAACTTTCCAGATATGATAACTACCGCCTGCAGTTGTGCATCCAGGTATTCTTTTTTTTCATTTGACCTTTATTTACAAAGTTATGTCCCTTTGTTGAAAAGTCCTTGTCCGGACAACTCCTCCAAAACTACAGGGCCAATTTCAACAAAAGTTTCCAGATATGATAACTATATGATGAAGTTGTGCATCCAGGTGTTATTTTTTTTCATTTCGAGCCTTTTTACAAAATTATGGGCCTTCATTGAAAAATCTTTGTACAGGCAACTCGTTCAAAACTACGGGGCTAGTTTCAACGAAAGTTTTCAGATATGATAACTACCACCTGATATTGTGCATTCAGGTATTATTTTTTCATTCTCAACTTTTTTTTACAAAGTAATTGTTCTTTGTTGAAAAAAGCTTGCCCTGACAACTTCTCCAAAACTACTGGGCCAATTTCAAAGAAAGTTTACAGATATGATAACTACCCCATGGTGTTGTGCATCCAGGTAATTTTTTTCAAACCCCTTTTTTATGGAGTTATGGCCCTTTGTTGAAAAATCCTGGTCCTGACAATTTCTTCTGATCAAGTCAGCCAATTTCAAAGCTTACAGATATGGTAACTGCCTCCTGATGTTGTGCATCCAAGTAGTACTTTTTCAATCCAACCCTTTTAAAAGGAGTTATGGTCCTTTGTTGAAAAAAAACCCCTTTGTCTGTCTCCTAAACTACTGGTCCGATTTCAATGAAAGTTTACAGATATGGTAATTACCCCCTGATGTCATGCATCAGGTTAGTACTTTTTCCATTCCAACACTTTTTGACGAAGTTATGGCCCTTCGTTGAACAAATCCTGAAACTTTTTGTCTGGACAACTCGTTCTTAAGTTATGGATCGATTTTAACGAAACTTTCCAGATATGATAACTGCCACCTGAAGTTGTGCATCCAGGTATTCTTTTTTTTTCATTTGACCTTTATTAACAAAGTTATGGGCCTTTGTTTAAAATTCCTTGTACAGACAACTCCTTCAAAACTACAGGGCTAATTTGATTTTGTGCATCAAGGTAGTATTTTTTTCATTCCGACCCGTTTAAAAGGAGTTATGGTCCTTTATTGAAAAAAACACCTTTGTCTCCTAAACTGCTGTTCCAATTTCAATGAAAGTTTACATATATATGGTAATTACCCCCTGATGTCGTGCACCAGGGTAGTATTCTTTCATTTCGACCCGTTTTTAAGGAGTTATGGCCCTTTGTTTGAAATCTTTGTCCTGACAAATCTTCCTTAACTGCTATGGCGATTTCAGCAAAACTGGTTCATCTGGGCTAACACAAGATTTGGTTTGCAAGTGTGTTTGCCATTGGGAAGGAGTACAGAAAGTATGTCAGTTACCTATATACTTAAATAAGTGTACAGCTCAGTTAATAAAGAAATCATTACTGGTGGGAGTCTATGGATTGGTTTACAATGCTTTACCTTACTTAGCCTTTAGCTTACAGTTCTAGTTTATATAGGAGCGGGGTATTAGTTAGCCTTTGGCTTACAGTTCTAGTTGTTAAAGGTTGTGAGGTCGCGTCACCGAGCATTTCGAACTCCTTCCCTTGAAATAAGAGTTACTGCCCCTTAATAAGAAGCTTACTATGTAAGTTTTTTTTAAATTTTCTTGTTATTAATTATAACTTATACGTTGAACTTAAGTGATTCCGAGACAGAATAGTTGTTTTCATTTGACAATAGAATTTTCCATTGGAAACATACATGATTTGTTAAGTCATGTGATTTTGTTTTTTGATAGTCACACCATACATGTGCGAGCTGCAGTGTGTGGTGAATGAAATATATGTGATGCGAATAAGAATGTAAGTTTATATCATTGTCTGATAATTATTTAATTCCGATAACACCTGTCTAGATTTCATCTACCCCAATGACGGTCAAGTTTGTAATGAGTGTAGTATTAAAACCCAGAAGAAAAAAATCAAACTTTTGGGAAGTCTCAGATTTAGAAAAATTAAGAAAGTCAATTTTAAACATTCTATTTGTTCCTATGTGATGCTTTGTGACCGAGAAAATATCCTAAAATTTGTTAAAATATTGATTTTCTTTTAGTTTTAGACCGTAATCTGTATCATTTTAGTTTGTAAATGAACATAATCCATATCACACAGGGTCGTAATCCGTATCACACAGGGTCGTAATCCATATCACACAGGGTCGTAATCCGTATCACACGGTCGTAATCCGTATCAGCATACATACCAACTGTATCACACAGGGAAGTAAGCCGTATCAGCATACATACCAACTGTACCACACAGGGACGTAATCCGTATCCGCATACCTACCAACTGTATCACACAGGGAAGTAATCCGTATCAGCATACATACCATCTGTATCACACAGGGACGTAATCCGTCTCAGCATACATACCAACTGTATCGCACAGGGACGTAATCCGTATCAGCATACAGACCAACGGTACCTCACAGGGACGTAATCCCTACCAGCATAAATACCAACTGTATCACACAGGGAAGTAAGCCGTATCAGCATACATACCAACTGTACCACACAGGGACGTAATCCGTATCTGCATACATACCAACTGTATCACACGGGGTCGTAATCCGTATCAGCATACATCCCAACTGTATCACACAGGGACGTAAACCGTATCAGCATACATACCAACTGTACCACACAGGGACGTAATCCGTATCAGCATACATACCAACTGCATATTTTGATAAAAATATCGCTAACACTTGTGTTAAGTTCAAACTATTCAATGTTATTTTGTTGATGAGTCACTGGCCAATACATGTGTTGTGTAAAAGTAATTTAATTAAATAGTTATTACATTCAAATCTCCACAAAGCCGTATGCAAACTGATGTCCGTACATATATATGATTATTCAGTCAAAACCAATTCAATCTAAAAATTTAAATATTGATATAGCAGCTTAACATACTTATAGCATATAGACCGAGTCACAATGGTAAGTTTTCAGTATTTATACAAGAAAGCGCAAAAATACCTCTCACGTTCTTCCATCATGGGAGCATTTTGCTCTGCCGTAAGCCGTATTTAACGCAAAACTAACTTTTTGCTCCGACGTAATCCAAACAGCGAGTAATACTCTGACGTAAGCGAAATAGCTAGTATCGGGATTACCCCCTTGTATATTATTAACTCTGTTTTTTTCAGTTTTTTCTGACTTTTCTTGTACAATATATAAATTAAGTTGTACAATATAAAATTGATTCTATTTTTATTGTATTTTAGTACAATGTTGCAATGTTACAGGGTACAACAAACTGTTGCATCTTATCATTCAGATTATACAGATATAACTTCATGCTGTAGTATTTTCTGTCTTTGTTGTACAGTATATTTATTATTCCAGTGTTGTAGTATGTATACTTACAGGTGCATGTGGTACCCTGTATATAGGTACTAGTATAAACTATTGTGAACTGATAGTCTAGTTTTAATGGCTGCTCCAGTTCGTGATTTTTACCCTGTTTTCTGTATGGATCTATTGTGTGATAAGCCAGCCTTTCAATGCTGCTGTTAGGAATGGACAGACTTGACAGCATCAGGACAGTAGATACCAAGTTATTATATCTTTGATTTTTGTATATCAGCTGTTGAGCTGTAATGCCTACAGTAGTAGATTGTACATCACTGGGATCAACTACTAAATTCTGTGATAAAGAAAGCTGTCAGTGGTGTTTATTTATTTTTTAAAGAAACTTTTTTATGAAAACGGGTATGACCTTTTTAAATGTATTCCAATAAAAGTGGCTTTTCAGTATTTTGTTAATACTACCGATTGTTACAAAATATTTATTATTGATCAGTATATATGTATATATGGCGCAATTGTTTAACGTTGCAATACACTTCAAAATCACAATGTTTAAAATCCTGTTGTTAGAATTCTAGTACATGTAGTGTGTTGGCTATAGTGTATTTTAGACATTATTATTCTAATACATGTATGTAGGCTAATGTGTATCCTACATTGAATGTTTTAGATTCCAGTACAAAGGGTATAAGTAACAGAAATCATTGCGGTTTAGGATCAGGTCTTAGACTTGTTTAGATTTTATACAATGTATTCGATGTTGCTTTTCACAAAAATAGATAAAAATTGATGAATGAAGAAGTGGTGTCTGGGTTTTTTCTAGAGTATATATGATATCACAGTATGTATGGCTTGCAGAAAAATCACAGTGAAATGTAAAGCAACGGATAACATGATCACTGATTCAGTATCAAATGAGGAAAATGTAGGTAAAGGTCGTGACCCTAATCTTATGGAACTATGGGCTTAAAATTTGACCTTTGACCCCTGATAACATTCAAATTGACCTACTGCCCTCAATACAATATTTAAGAAAAGAAAAGTTGAACTGCTGGTTTTAATACTGAAGCATAACTGGACTTGGTCGATCGTTGGTGACCAGGTTTCAAATTTGCCACAATACTCTGCGTTTCAACTTTGTAATAAGAGAAATGAAATGGCAAGACCGCGATTCGAACCCGGGCCCCTCCAAACTCTGACATATACTCTACCAATTGAGCTACCTGGTTGCCAACGATTGACCCTGTCTAATTCTTCATTCTTCCCTCCTTCAACCAAGTCTTTGACCCAAAAAGAAACACAATACCCTAGACCCCCTTATGTGGGTATATTGTGTTGGGTACCAGATTTGTAACAGGAGAAGGAGAACTCCAGACTGATAATCTACCAACTGAGCTACCACTGTCGCTGACAATTGACCCAGTCCAGTTCTACTACAAAACCATATCAAAGTATCATGGTGCTAGACCTTGAAATTCTTAAAGAGGGCTGTTTCAAGACATTAGCATCAATGATTGGTGACAATAAACTAATCAGGCCAATATCATCTATGTAAAACGAGATCCCATAGTGATCTTGGCGCCCACCATCGTACAATCTCCATTAGAACTTTCTGTCAGTTTGATCTTTTCTCTTCTCTGTTTGGCCAGTTTACCTGGCAGCCATCTTGTTCTTCTGATTAGTCTCAAAAGTTAAAATGCACAACTAATGACCAAGGGAAACCTACATATCAAATTTGGGAATGATCCCTCCAGCAATTTTATGAGAAATAGAGCTATAACAAACTAATATGTAACAAGACAGCTGCCTGTCTGCCATCTTGGTTTTCCGATTAGTCCAAACATTTTTATATGCATAACTTTTAGAGAACCAAGAGAAACCTTTATGTGAAATTTGACAAAGATCCTTCTCCAAAACTTTTTAAGAAATAGCGCTTACAATATATAACTCCCAAATCCAATATGGCCACCTGCTGGCCATCTTAGTTTTTTAAGTCTGTCCCCAAATTTGAAATACATGGCAACATGGGGAGCCCTCATGTGAAAATTGATAAAGACCCCTCTTGTACCTTCTGAGAAATAGTGCTAATAAACTTTAACTCTCAAATTCAAGATGGCTGCCTGTCGGCCATCTTGGTTTTCTCTTAAGTCCTAAAATTTTGGTATGCACAACTAGGAACCATGTGGAAACTAAATGTGAATTTTAAGAAAAATCGCTCCAGCATATTCTCAAATTCAAGATGGCTACCTTTCGGCCATCTTGGTTTTGCAATAAGTCCCGAAATTTGATATGCATATATTAGGATCGTGGGGAACCTTCTTGTCAGATTTAAGAAAAATCCTTCCAGCAGTGAGAAATAGCGCTAACAATTAGCTTTAAATTCAAATGTCAAAATGGCTGCCTTTCGGCCATCTTGGTTTTGCAATCAGTCTTAAAATTCGATATACATATCTAGAGACCATTGGAAACCTTTATGTGTTATTTGAGAAAGATCTCTCCGGTACTTTCTGAGACATTGAGTTAACAAGAATTGTTAAAAATGATAGATTACAAAAGCAATATCAAAATCGTCTTAATATATTGACAGGAAAACGTTCATGACTATGGTGATATCTTAATTGGCTACATGCGGGGCTTAAACAAACTGTTTTAACACTGACACTGCGCACTAAAACGGGTTTTACTTCTAATTTAAGGGGAGGTAACTATATTTTTCTCCTAAAGCGGACGAACATCCGGCGTGTTACACTGTTTTCATTTTCTGTAAAACTAATTCACACAATTCATAAAGCATTTTTAGTCAAAATAAACGCCTTTAATTTCCCCTAAAACAATTATTATCCTGGTTTAGTTTTTTCAGGTATTACTAACATATTTTTAAATATAAAAGTAACCGAAATATAAGAACTATTTCCCCAGGTGTAAATTCTGACAGACAAATTCTTCCGCGATTTACTCCTCTATTTTTAGCAGGTCAACTCGCCGGTTGCAAGTCAGCACGGAAGTATACAACTGGAAATAGACCTTTGTAACAAATCAGAAACACTACGAGAGGAAAAGATCACGCCTAAACAAAGTCGTACGTATATTTTTGATGCTTCATGTAATGTAGTTTTATTGGAAAAATCATCTTCAACAGGTGTCGGTGTCACAGGTGAGTCTTGATTATCACATGAAATACCTGGATTTCTGGGAGGTACTCGACGCTGATACCTGTGTCTGATATGTGGTAACAGACAGCGATAATTAGCCTTACACCGTGTTAGAGGTGTCGAAAGTGTTTGACAGTCGTATGCAAAGCCTGACAGGGCGTATACCTGTACAGGTAACAATCGATACAGCGAGATATTGATACCGATCAACTGAGTGGTCAGCCAGCTATAACACACCTGTCCACAACTTTGATCTGCCGATCAGATAACATGTACGTGTATGACATCAGTGTTAAGCGAAGGAAATCTATCACATTCCAAGGGGTTTCCCTATAACTATGTAGAACAAAACTCAGCCACGTGCTGTCAATCAAATGAAACAGGTCATGGATAGTTCTTTAAATAGTTAATTGATCACAATCAAAACTAAAAGATGACGTGCGCAGACACATGTGTACGATACTACTAATTCTTGTGTAATATTACATAATACAGTCCTACTATAGAAATGTATAGGGAGAACAAAGACCACAAGTACAGTGTACGTACATGTATAGACGTAAACTAGTCAGGGGACCTGGTGGGCCCTGTCCTTTTCATCCTGTATCTAAATATAGAAATGAGGTACAGTGTTTACACAATAGAGTACTCTTTGCTGGGTGTCAATAGAGTGACAAAGAGACCTCTAACTTTTATGCAAATTTTCTAACCCTGATTCTCACCCAAATAGTTCAAGCATTCTGAAATTAGAATGAAAGAAACATTTACACATTTTCTTATCTAACCACATGGCATAATGTTTCTGGTTTTTATTGGAGAAATATAGGATTCATATTATTTATGGCACAAAGTGTTACTAATTTTTGTTTAACCCTATTTCAGAAGGAACTGGAGTTGTATATTAAAGCAATGAAGTTTCAAATTGGATCATTTTTCTGTTGGAGGGGGGTGGGGGGATAATGGGCCTTACCTATATTCCCATTGAGATCATCTTTTCTCTTACCCTGGACAGGTGTATCTTCACTTTTACCGGTGTGAGATTTCCTTGTCTCACCCTAGGGTTGAGACGGGGGGATTCCCCTATTCATAACAATGGTATGACGTCACTTCAACAATATAATGACGTCACGTCAACAATACAATGACGTCATGTCAACAATCCATCAACAACACGTCAACCCTGAATTTAGCATGTAACGTTGTCATTACATTGTGTATATGATACACATTGGAAGAACAGGATAAGAGAAAAAGAATCATTCACCCCCTTGTGGGTAAGATAGAGGAATCTAAACCCTCAGGAAAGATTCTTAAGTTGCCAAACACTCGGCAAAGCCTCGTGTATGGCAACATAAGAATCTTCTCCCTCAGGTTGAATCTTCTCCCAAAGGGGGTGAGAGATTCTATTAATCTCATTTCATCTCCACCCCAACTAAACTCATCTTTACCAAAATTATACTTGCCTTGTCTCATTATCACTCCAACTAGAATCACATTGTCTCATCTTCACTTCAAACAATAATCACCCTAGAGTTGAGACAAGCTACACATGCTCTTTGCACGTTCTCAACAATACCATGACGTCACGGCAACAATACCATGATGTCACGGCAACAATACAATGACGTCATGTCGACAATTCAATCGCATCATATCAGCATTATCTTGCATTGATGTAACGGCAATATTAGATAGATAAGAGGGTAAACAGGGTAAGAGAAAAATAATCATTCACCCCCTTGGGAGTGAGACAGGGGATCTCAACCCTCGGGAAAAGATTCTTAAGTTGCCAAACACTCGGCAAAGCCTCTTAAGATTCTTAAGCTGTCAAACACTCTGCAAGCCGCGTGTTTGGCAACTTAAGAATCTTACCCCTTGGGTTGAGATCCCCCTGTCTCACCCCCAAGGGGGTGAATGATTCTATTAGTCTCATCTACGGATACACTCAACTAAATTATCTTGTCTCATCTACACTCCAACTAAATTATCTTATCTCATCTACACTCCAACTTAATTATCTTATCTCATCTACACTCCAACTAAATTATCTTGTCTCATCTACACTCCAACTAAACTATCTTGTCTCATCTACACTCCAACTAAACTATCTTGTCTCATCTACACTAGAACTAAACTATCTTGTCTCATCTACACTCCAACTAAACTATCTTGTCTCATCTACACTCCAACTAAACTATCTTGTCTCATCTACACTCCAACAAAAATCACCTTGCTCATCGTCACACAAACTTAAATAATTTTGTATCATCTACACTCCAATGTTAATGGTCAAATTTTATGTCATCTACACTCCTACTAAATTATCTTGTCTCATCTACGGATACACTCCAACTAAAATCACTTTGGCTCATTTACACCCAGACCTGTATTAAATAACCCTGTCTCATCTCCTACCCAACTTTAACCACCTTATCTCATCTTCACCCCTAGTAATATATTTATAACCTTGAATTGGGAGTAGGGTTATATATTGTGTTTTGTTTCCCTCACAATTTATTATCAAGGATTAGGAGTCGGGTTCAGCCCTAGGCCTCTAGATAAATGCATGCCTCTTTATGCAGAACTAATATTCAGGTAAACTTGACCATAAACATTACTGCTATAGGTTTTGTGCCAGCTTGCTGATATACCGGCTTTGTTATCTGGGTGTGTGTGCTGCTGTTAGGTGAATGCTACCCATTTATCTACAGGTAATTCAATGATGGGTATAAGGTAGCATCAGTCTCATTACCATGGCAACTAATCAGGTAATAGAATTTTCTGTAAAAATCCTTAACCATCTGGCTGCCGGTTCTGGAGAGGGTTTTCCTGATCTGGTGTCATGTAACATCATAAAATAAGTGCTATATAATTTTGTTACGTACACTGAATTTTCTTGTTTGCTGCTAGTTGCCTTTGTTTATGTATGAGCTACAATACATAGTGAATCAGTCTTCAGAAACAGACTTTCTGTTGTGTACAGGTGACCATATCTTAAACCTTGTGCTAATTATTAAATTGTAAAGTTGTGTTAGTTTATTAGTATAGTCTTAAATTTCCTGAAATAAGGAATAGCACAATTGACTTCTTAAAATGACATTGTGATATTTGAATTGTGATTATAATTACTTGCCGGAAACTGACACCTGTAGCAGATGTGGTAAATGTATTGATTTAGGGACTGATGTATGGCAGGAGGTAGCCGTTTAGGGGTGGGAAATGTATTGATTTAGGGACTGATGTTGGGCTGGAGGTAGCCGTTTAGGGGTGGAAAATGTATTGATTTAGGGACTGATGACATGTATGGCTGGAGGTAGCCGTTTAGGCGTGGGAAATGAATTGATTTAGGGACTGATGTATGGCAGGAGGTAGCCGTTTAGGGGTGGAAAATGTATTGATTTAGGGACTGATGTGTGGCTGGAGGTAGCCGTTTAGGGGTGGTAGATGTATTGATTTAGGGGCTGATGTATGGCTGGAGGTAGCCGTTTGGGGTGTTAGATGGATTGATTTAGGGACTGGTGAAAGGCTGGAGGTAGCCGTTTAGGCGTGGGAAATGAATTGATTTAGGGACTGATGTATTGCTGGAGGTAGCTGTTTAGGTGTGCTAAATGTATTGATTTAGGGACTGATGACATGTATGGCTGGAGGTAGCCGTTAGGGGTGTTAGAGGTATCAATTTAGGGACTGATGTATGGCTGGAGGGAGCCGTTTAGGTGTGGGAAATGTATTGATTTAGGGACTGATGTGTGGCTGGAGGTAGCCGTTTAGGTCTGGTAGATGTATTGATTTAGGGGCTGATGTATGGCTGGAGGTAGCCGTTTGGGGGGTTAGATGTATTGATTTAGGGACTGATGTATTGCTGGAGGTAGCTGTTTAGGTGTAGTAAATTTATTGATTTAGGGACTGATGTGTGGCTGGAGGTAGCCGTTTAGGGGGGGTATATATTGATTTAGGGACTGATGTTGGGCTGGAGGTAGCCGTTTAGGTGTGGTAAATGTATTGATTAATGGACTGATGTATGGCTGGAGGCAGCCGGTTAGGGGCGGTAAATGTATTGATTTAGGGGCTGATGTATGGCTGGAGGTAGCGGTTTAGGGGTGGTAAATATATTGATTTAGGGACTGATGTGTGGCTGGAGGTAGCCGTTTAGGCGTGGGAAATGTATTGATTTAGGGACTGATGACATGTATGGCTGGAGGTAGCAGTTTAGGGGTGGTAGATGTATTGATTTAGGGGCTGATGTATGGCTGGAGGTAGCCGTTTAGGGGTGGTAAAAAACAGAAGGGAGTTATATGGGGGCAGGGTCAAATTGAGTAGAAGATTGCGCAGAAAGTCACACATTTGTGTTGGAATTATTAGTGTAGATTAATGAAGATGGAGTATGAATAATTATTAAGGAATGTAGACACTCAATGAGGTATGTGATGTGTGTATTACAAGTTTCATGTGTGTATGTGTGTTTGTGTGTTACAGGTGCTTTTATAATGTATATGTGTATTGCATGTGTGTGTATTATATGTGTAAATGTTTGAAATCAACCAACACACTATAGTCATTATATATACAATTGCTGATTTTAAATAGATGAATACACTATATATGCTACCATTATTGGTGCTAGGGCCAAGTCCCACCCCTTGAGACTGCATTCCTGGCTCATAACATGAAGACATTTTATATCCCCAGCCTTGAACAAAACACTTGTATTATATACAGTTGCTGAAGATTTAGGTGTAATATGCTACAACGGGTCAAAGCTATATTACTACTTTAGCCACTAGGAAAAATGTTGCCATGTGTTAAACAGTTTTGTTGGCTACATCATTCTTTTTATCAGATTCTATTATTTTGATTAGATATATGTTTGGCTTGAGCGATTATCTGAACAACTGAAACAGAGAACTGAAATATCTTATATTAGTGAATA